TTGTTTTTGGTTTTTAAATTTTGACATCTACAGGCGCGACCGTCTTTTTTAACCCAATTTCGTTATTTTAAATAATTATTATTATTAAATCCCTTGTGAATTATGACTTTTTTGAACTCGTATTATAATTAGATACTAGCAAAAACGCCGAAAAAATAAACAAGCAAGATCAAACATGTTTTAATAAATATATACAAGAGAAACCAGATTATTTTTCTCGTTTTGTTTTTATTTTGAGTTCGTCCGGCTGTACGTGCCTTGTGTTTTTAAAGGCGAACTTTATCGTTTAGAAACTTTGTTTTTATTATCCCTTGCATATAAATATGTATACGAGTCTTATTTTGGTTGTGTTTATGTTTATTTTGGCGATAAACTTAAAATTCAAGACATTAGCCGGCAATAGCTGGTTGAGAGAACCTTTGAAGAGCATCAATAGCTTTGTCAGACCCATACATTTACAACGAGACAAGGTCTTATATGAATCCATATATATGTATATGATAATAAAGAACAAACATTTTGTGAGAAAACGAGGTCAAACGCCAAATTTCAGCAGCTTTTTATGAACTCCACATGGGATTAGCACTCATTAAGAGATGTCTCTAGTAAAAAAGGATTTATTCGCGTTAGGTCTTAATTTGTATGCGATTTGTAATCAAGCAGAAAATTAAAAGATTTGTTGCAAACTTTGTTTTTTGTAATACGTAGGTTGTCTTTTACATTTCGGAATGTGGCTACACTAGTGTTGTAATCTGACAACTCAAAACTTTAACGTAAATTTTGACATTTTTTATGACATACATACTCAAAACGTGCGCTATTTGTGTTTTTTACATTAACTTGAAATATGATCCATCGTGAGATAGAGACAACTATGGGCCTTGGGGGCACTAGCATACATTCGAAATTGCATGAACATTTTAACTGTAAAAAATTTGTTAACGTTGGATCCCACCCTATTTGCTAATCGCTCAAAAAATGCTTGTGTCGATTGTTCCAGAGAAACGTTAAGAAAATACGATAGCGGTGCTTCGAAACACATCTATGACATCATGACAGGTGATGAATCGTGGATTTACGCGTATGAGTCCGAAAATAAACACGGATCGCTCTTCATCACTGCAATGCTAGGTCTCACACATCGACTGAAACAACTGCATTTTTGAGTATTCAGAACATGGATTTGATGAGTCATCCACCGTATAATCTTGGCTTATACTGCTGATAGCCTCTGAAGCTAGCCCTGCATGTTTTAGGTTGTACATATGTTATTAACATTATATAAGCTTTTATAAATAAATAAAAAATAAAAAAATCTTGGCTTAGAGAACATTTTGAAAAACAATAAATAGATTTTCGATGATTAAAATTTAATTTTGCTCTCGAATACCGAAATATAAAAGACAACCTTTGAAATATATGTTTCGATATATACTTTTCTGACACGTGACATTTTTTGTTGAAATCTACGATATTCCTTTCAATTTCACACATACTTTTCCGTGAAAACTAATCTTACTTTTTTAATTTTTGAAAATTTCAGTTAAAACTTTTGTAAAAATTGTCTAAAAAAACTACGCACCATGAAAATTTTGATCGTCGCGCTCTTCGCCACATTAGCGGTAAGTCAAGCATATTTTACACGCTTCTAAACGTATTCTTATTGAAACACTACTCCACTCAACAGCTGCAGAATGCGCTGGCCAGTGTAAAAGAGGAGATTACCGCCACTGAATATATTGAGAATCTGAACAAAGAAATTGCACGTCGCACCAACATAGAGACGGAAGCCAGCTGGGCCTATGCATCTAACATTAATTCGGAGAATGAGCGCAAGAAGAATGAAGTCTCCGCTGAGGTGGCCAAATTCATGAAGGAGGTTTCCACCGACTTACAGAAATTCAATTGGCAGTCTTTTAAATCGGAAAATTTGCGCCGTCAATTCAAAATGCTTACCAAACTCGGTTATGCGGCACTCAGCGAGCCTGACTACGCTGAATATTTGGACGTGATGTCCACTATGGAGTCAAACTTCGCTAAAGTACGTGTTTGCGACTATAAGAATGCCACTAAATGCGATCTCTCTTTGGATCCTGAAATCGAAAATATCATTACCACCAGCCGCGATCCGGAAGAGTTGAAGTATTATTGGCGTGAATTTTACGATAAAGCCGGTACTGCGGTGCGCATTCCTTTCGAGAAATATGTGGAACTGAATACGAAAGCAGCCAAGCTGAATAGTAAGTGCGCTCGAGAGTTGTTTGTTCGTTTCGCACTTTATTACGATTTAAATTTTTATTTATAATAGATTTCAAATCTGGCGCTGAATTGTGGTTGGATGAGTACGAGGATGACAGCATTGAAAAGCAGCTCGAAGACATTTTCGATGAACTGCGTCCGCTTTATCAGCAAATACATGGCTACGTGCGCTATCGTCTGCGCCAGCACTACGGCGATGCTGTGGTGTCGGAGAAGGGACCTATTCCCATGCATTTGTTGGGCAATATGTGGGCTCAACAATGGTCCAGTGTGGCCGATATTGTCTCGCCATTCCCCGATAAGCCGCTGATTGATGTCACCAATGAGATGGTTGCACAAGGTTACACACCACTGAAAATGTTCCAACTGGGTGATGATTTCTTCCAATCAATGAATCTGACCAAGCTGCCACAGTAAGTTCGAGAATATGTTAGTTCATTACAAAAATTGTATGCGGTATCATTTCTACCCTGCAGAGATTTCTGGGATAAGAGTATTTTGGTAAAGCCTGATGATGGACGCGATTTGATTTGCCATGCCAGTGCTTGGGATTTCTACGTTATCGATGATGTGCGCATTAAGCAGTGCACCCGTGTGACAATGGATCAATTCTTTACCGTTCACCACGAATTGGGACACATCCAATACTTCTTGCAATACCAGCATTTGCCCTTCATCTATCGCGCTGGTGCCAATCCCGGCTTCCACGAAGCTGTCGGTGATGTGCTCTCACTTTCAGTCTCTACACCGAAACATTTGGAGCGTGTTGGTCTACTGAAGAACTACCAACGCGATGATGAGGCACGCATCAACCAATTGTTCTTGGCTGTAAGTGGTCGTATATTCATATTCTTGTTTGGAGAATCTCGTAAAATATTATCGTGTAATTATTTATTCAGGCTCTGGATAAGATTGTCTTTCTGCCTTTCGCCTTTACAATGGATAAATACCGTTGGGCATTGTTCCGTGGCGAAGTGGACAAGAAGGATTGGAACTGTGCTTTCTGGAAGTTGCGTGAGGAATACTCTGGTATTGAACCACCAGTAGTTCGTTCTGAAAAAGATTTTGATGCGCCAGCTAAATATCACGTGTCCGCCGATGTCGAGTACTTGAGGTAGGTTTTAGGTTTAAGAGTATCTACAATCTTTGTAGTGTATACTCATTTTTGCATACCGAATATTAACATTTCTCTTATTACCTCTCTCGGCAGATATTTGGTTTCGTTCATCATACAATTCCAATTCTATAAGTCCGCTTGTATCAAGGCTGGTCAATATGATGCCAACAATCCGGAATTGCCTTTGGACAACTGTGATATTTATGGCAGCTTTGAAGCAGGTCAAGCCTTCAAGTGAGTTTTTAAAGAGAAATTAATTTTCAATATGAGTTGCAATAAAATGTTATTGCTTGCAGAAATATGCTCTCATTGGGTGCCTCTAAGCCTTGGCCCGATGTATTGGAGGCTTTCAATGGTGAACGTACAATGAGTGGCAGAGCTATAGCTGAGTATTTCGAACCCCTCCGTGTATGGTTGGAGGCAGAGAATAAGAAGAACAATGTGCCCATTGGGTGGACCACATCTGACAGTAAGTTTAAAACTCTCCAAAAATCGATTTCTGTGTATTAACTAGATCTTCGTTACAGAATGCGTTTCCTCGTAAAATCGTAAAACTGACGTGGTCTTAGGAAGTTGATGCAAAAAAAAAAAAAAAAAACTTTTGGTTTTGGCTTTCAGTTTGAGTATTAAACAATTTAATTTTCCTTACATTTTTGTAAAATTTATTTCTACAAAAATTCAGTATTAAAAATAATACATATCATAAATTTGTTTTAATTTAGCAAAGGGAAAGATTCAGGTAAGTTATATTTAACGGTTAATGGGGTGGCTTATTGACGATGAAATTGACTTTTAGTTATTCGAATTGTACGTCGGAGTAGTGAAAACTACGACAACCAGCCCAATTATCATCCAAATAAGATATGATGTCATACTAATAGAGTTCTATATATGTATGCATATACATATCTGATCTAAAGAGGTCACTCTTTCCCGGACCATTAGCCTTTTCCGGTATGCTTTTATCAAGCGTCAAAACTAAGTTCACATAAGTCAATCTCAGTTATGTTAAAGATGAAAGAAAAGAGCATTCTTAGATAAAGCTTTCATAGGTTGAGCAGCAGAGATTGGTTAGTTTAGGTCGATTAGGTAAATGTTTCGATATAATCCCACTTGGTCTAATAGAGACGCTTGTCCGTTGTGAAACCTTAAGGTTCCACTCTGAGCCAGGAGGCTTTCGCAACTACACAAGTTCTGGCAGTGGACCAACGCTTACTGAGTTCATGTGAGGCGCGTAGATCCTCGCAGAACGACTATAGGGAAATACGAACTCGTTTCCAACTTGCTGGTATTTGGGTGTGGATGCTTTTTCTCGCAATTTCATCGGCAGCAGAGGTAACATAAAGAAACTACATTTCATAAAATTGAAGTAATTGAGTTATTTAATTTTCACTCAATACCGCTACCGATCTCCAATAACAGCAATCGTTCTCTCTTTAATCAAAGAGCCAGTTCACAGCTGCTCTGTTTGTGAAAACCAATAGTTTCACGCTCGTGCTAAGTCGCCGTCGCGACGCATTTAATATTAAGCCAAGTCATGGAAGAATTATTGCAATATGCGTGAGCACTCAAGCAATTACCCAGAAGGCTAATCACTATTGTCGACTTCAAGCCGGCACTCTGTGTCGTTTAGTTGCCAATTTGAAGCGTTCAAGACCGGACATACGTGAGAAAGTAATAGTGGTTAGTTCGGTAGTTGAACAGCTTAAGGAAAACTCCAAAGCAAGCAAAGCGTTTATTGAAAGTGCGAGTGAGGAATTTAAAAACCGCTAAGTATTATTATAAAGCTCTACGCCGCCAATTAATATAAAGGAAAACGTGCAGTGCCGATTTTTTTGCCGATAAAAAAGCTAAAGTAAATATTATAATTGTTTTAAATATCACTTGTTGGTTTGTTGAAAGTAAAAAGTGGTTTAACAACCGCGTTGCGGCGCGCAATGAATCATAATTACGTGCGTGCTTGTTGAAGCAGGTAACAGAACTGCACTGCAACTTATGGCAAGTACATGGACCTGCGCGCTACACCGAAAAAAATATTTATTTTGATTTGGCTATTGTGGCATTTTCGTTCATGGTCTGTATATTCTAATTTTGTTTGACTAGATAATTATATGGTTGTTGATTTTTCGAGCAGCAGTATGAGTAGTTAACACGGTCGACGACCCAACACAATAATTTAGCCTTTTTATGCTCATTGAAAATTTTAGAAAACAATTTCCGGCATTTACCGTTATTATTTTCATACGCTGTACAGGGTCAGGACAATTTCTGTCAAAGGGAAGCGTAGTAGTATTATAAATTATATATGAATCATCACCGTGGTAAACTTAGCGATCCAGCGATACGAAATTTTGCATACGTCATGTTTCCCAAGAAACTGCTAATTTTTCGGAACCGTTGATACCGATCCACTATACCATTTTCCAAATCGAGCCAAAACTGTTCAAGACCGTAGGTACGGTATATTTTTTTTTGTTACCCCATCTTACTTTTTATCGCAAATATCGGTACGTAATTGGAATTCCTTTTTCTTTCTTTACAACGGTATGTCTGCATGTCAAATATGATTTAATCGGGTCAATACTTCCCCTAGCTTCCATTTATAGTACCTATTACAAAGATTTTTGAACTCCCGGGTGACTTTATACCGCATACAACGGTCAATAAATGAGTTATCTCAATGGATACGAGTTATCCCACAAGGATGGATAGAATCGGACGAGTACTTGAACTAGCCCCCATTCAACTAGCTTCAGGATTCGGTAGACTTTACACCATATAGTTGTGATGGTACGTGAGGTATCTTATAGAAACCCTGAGATGCAGGAAATATCCCAGACTTTTAAAAATATTCCTGAACATATTGGCATGAGGCTCTAAATGATCAAGAACCACTTGTATTGAAGTAATTTTCGATATAACGAGTTTTTCAATGAGAGCGCAACAAAAGTCTGTGAAAGTACACTCGATGCCATTATGTATGGAACTAGATTTATTTTGCATAGCCACAGGTCACAGAGATGCATAACACTTGAGAACGACTGTGAGAGAATGATACTCTCGACTCACGGCGCTTCTTAGTCTCACTGGCATGGTAACATTTTGTACTGTGCCTGTGTATTCACTAGACGCTCAATTGTGGATCTGAACGGTCTATTATGTTGACCATAAATTGAACGTAGCGTTCTTAAAATTGATGCCACTGACTAAGATTTCGGAAGTAAATTTTAACAATTTTGACTTGTTATTGGATCATATACATATATATAAAATATGGTGTCGGTTGCTGTCCCTATCAGTCTTCTTTTGTAGCGTCCCTATTGAAAACCCCATTAAGCTTTGTATATGGTTTCACTGACCAATAATATTTAGAGTGTTATTAGCAAGCTTTTTGAATATTTTTAATTTAATCTAACTCAAGTTTCGGTTTCTAGGGTTTTCTGCAGTCTAGAATAGAAATGAAAGATAAAGAAATCTAACATCACTTCACTCTAGAAGCCCAAGTTATATACGAAAAAGCGTTTAAAAAACAATACATTTTTGAGAACATGAAGACGCTGATAATTAATATTTTACTGGTAAGTAATTTAAAGTAAAAAACTAACTTTAGCATATATGTAAAATTTTAATTTCCCCTCACAGCTTCATTGCCTATTACACACAATCAACTCGGCGGAGAATTCCACCGAAGTTTTAACGAAATTCCTTGCAAATGTTAACCAGAATCTAGCCACACTTTACAATCGCGAAGTGCTCGCCAATTGGCAGCTAGAAGTAAAGGGCCCAAATTATCTATATGCTCTATTGCAGTCAGAGTTGACTAGCGAAGAGATAATGAATTATGTGCAAAGTATGGCACCCAAGGTTACCAAGTTCCAGCGCTTAAACATAGGCAATCCACAACAGCAACGCCAGTTGTCACAGATACCCGAAAGAGGTTACGAAGCACTGTCACCTGCGGATCTCAAATTGATGTACATTGTTACCAAAAATATGGGTGACATTTATAAGAATACGAAGCTTTGCTCTTTCCACGATCGAAAGCAATGTAATTACACCTTGATACCGTCGGTGCAGCATATTTTACATAATAGTAATGATGTTGCTGAAATTGAGTATTACTGGTTGGAATGGCGTCGGAAGACCGGTATGCCCGCCAAGCAAGATTTTGTGTCGTTTGTTGAGTTGTATAAGAAGACGGCGCAGTTGAACGGTAAATTTGATGTTATAATAATATGTGTAGACAATATTCACGCTCTGTTTTATAGGTTTCCCCACACCATCAGAATTCTGGTACAAGGACCTTGAAGAGGATAGCGCACAGACTGCTAGACTATTGGAAAGTTTCATGCAACGCTTGCAACCGCTTTTCCAGGAATTCCATGCTCATGTCCGCGGAAAGTTGAGAAAGTTATATGGTGAGGAGTTGATACCTCGCGGTAAGCCGTATCCACAGAATCTCGCAGAGATTTTCATAGGAAATGCATTTCGTCGTGCCGATCCCGAATGGTACATAGAATTCCCTTATCCTGAAGTCGGTATGCCCAATATTACCTCTGGCCTATTGCGACGAGGTTTGAATAATGCACAGCGTGTATTCTGGAATGTAGCGGAATACTTTCGCTCCATGGGTATGCCACAAATCGAAGAGTAAGTACTTTATGTGCACAGAGAGATTTATTGAACACTTCTATAAATAATTGTAGCACTTTTTGGTCACATAATGCTCGCCCTAAAGCCGATTTGGATGAAGAGGAGCTGCGTTGTTGGCATAAAGCCTGGAAGTTTTATGGCATCAAGCGTGTTAACTTCTCCTATTGCCCTCTGGTAGATGAAGAAAGATTCTTCAATATGTATGAGGCGCTAACTGAGGTCTATTACTATCGCGCTTATGACCAGCAGCCAACACTCTTTGCCGAGGAACCCTTTCCCAATTTCAGCGATGCTTTGGGAAAAATGTTCGCTTTGTCGGCTTCGTCGCCACGCTATCTGGAAAAGTTAAAGGTCTTAGAACGTGGTCGAGTGTCGAAGGAATTGCGAATTAATCGACTCTATTGGCAGGTGTGTACAGTAAAAATTATGTTTCTTCAAACTAACTAAATGTTACTTTTGGATAAATTGTATTGAAAATATATTTTCTTAAATACAGGGTCTACGCACTATATTTCTGATTCCTGTCTTCTATGTTCTGGACCGTTATCGAGTGGATGTGCTGGATGAGCGCTTAAATATTTCCGATAACTGTGCCTATTGGCAGCTGACCACGGACTTTACGGGTGCTGAGCCACCAGTGAGTAGAAGCAATGAAGATTTTGATGCACCAGCAAAGTTGTTGATAGAAGTGGACGATCAATATACTAGGTGGGAATGACAATCGTAGTATTTCATAAACTTTTAATTTAAACCTTTATAAGTAGTATGGTAATCACTTCTTCTTTCAATATAGTCAAATAATGAGCACAGTGCTGCAATATCAGCTCTACCAGCATTTCTGTGAAATCACTGGGCAATATAAACCAAATGATGAAAAATATCCACTCGATTTATGTGATTTATCCAATCAACGCCAAATTGGGCCGCTAGTGATGTAGGAACTCCATTTATTTAATTACGTTGTTTATTATAGTAATTTGCTTTTATTAGGGAAGCAATGTCTTTGGGCTCGTCGAAATCATATAAGGATGTTCTCCAAATAATGGCAAAGGAATCTGCTATAAACATGGAAGGGCTGCTGGCCTACTTTCAACCGCTTTACGAATGGTTGGTGGAGCAAAATCGTTTAGATGATGTGGAAATTGGCTGGGAGCCAACAACTAGTGAGTAATTTAATGACGAGAAGTTGTTTTATTTGTTAATTAATTTCGTTGTTATTCTTTTCAGAATGTTCTTAAGAAAGCGTTCGTGCAAAAAATATTTAATAAACAAATATCGAGTTTGTTTATGTTGTGGCACAAAAGAATGCATATGAAGTTCGCCGTACTATGTGGTATTAGTACTAAATGTTTTTTTTTTCATACAATTCAATATTAAAAGTTGATAAAGTAATTTATGATAATTTCGACTGTCATGGAAATACTTTTGAAGTTGCTTCCAAATCTGTTACGCGGAGATTTGCTGAACTATAATGGTATTTTACCACATATACAGCTATGTAGGTGTATAATAAAGATTTTTATTTTTTTATTTTTATTTTATTTTATTAAAGCTTACATAATAAACAAATTATTAAATAAACTAAAGTACGCAGCGCTAGCATCAAAGGCTTTCGGCTGATAAAATAATAAAGATTTAATTAAATATTTTCCAAATAAAGTAATAAATAATTAATAATTAAAAATAGATCAACTGACTCACCCTTTAATTCTTGTCATTCGCAAAAAGCTGTCGGAATCCATACAAAATGGTGCTGGGCAAACGACTCGCTCACACACTTTCTGCTTTCAAGCGGCCATTTTATGGCATTATTTTTCATTTTCCCATTCTATTCACTTTTGAAACACAAAATAATATTTTTATTGCACTACTTTCTTTTTTCACATTTACATTAATTAAACTAAACAAAAACACAATTGTAACAAGCATTTACACTTTTTCAACTATAGGAAATACCTTTATCATCGAGCAATTTTACGGTTTGCTACACATTTACCCACTTTAGAGAAATTTGGCTATTTTTTTGTGCCAGAATATTTTATTTTTTTCACAACATAATTGAACTTACTTATTATGAGTATTATACAAACGAATTCACAAATTGCGCTTACTGAACACGAAATCAATATATTTCACACTTCTCATATAGAAGAACTAGAAAGCGCAGCGCCGTGCTTCTTCCGACTCAATTCAACTTCACCGGTCGGATGTTAATGCGAAACTGCGGAAATTGTCACAACGATAATGAAACTAGCAAAGGAAACTTCTCTTTGCAATTACCAGTTCAGTTAGCCAGCTCACGAACCTCATATAACAGTTTCAAATAACCTTTGAACACCCTGTTATTACTGTTCTTCCTTTCATTTGCTTCGCCTGGTTTTTATATTTGCATGCGCATACATGTTAATGTAGTTCGTCTTATTACTAGTACGTAGTATTACTTGTATTACAATTTTAACATTATATTTTCCACTTGCAACATCAACTTTTCATCTTGCTAATTCATGATGCAACAATACTGCTGAACAACTTGCACTAATAGAATTCACCGACACCGGCCTTTTCGCTTTACTGCTGGTGGCCATTTTGTAAGCTTACTCTTTACGAAGTTAATTCATTTTCAGTTGTAAAAGAAATTTAAATAACAGATCTGCGTGCATCCAACAATACTATTTCTTTATTGAAACTAAAAAAAAGTAGTGATTTTCACAACACTTTAATGCACTTTTCACAAAATAGTTCAAGGCAGAACCCGCCGCGATTCTCTAAGACGATTTTACAGATGGGATGCTAAAAGAAAACTAAGGAAATGACGCTGCCAACAGTCAGCTGGCACAGGAAGGTCGTGTGAATTATTACAATTACCGAGTGTTACTTAGCCAGTTCGCGAACCCCACTTACATTTCTTCAATAAATCGTGAGCACCCTGCGTTATACACGTATCATTTTCACTGTCAGCCTTTAATAAAAAGGATAAAAATATCATATACAAGTATGTATATTTATTCTTTGAAGACTTGCATTTACTTAAGAAAGAAACAAGAAATCCAGCCGGCAAATAGTTTATAATTACACTATGTGAATTTGCTGAATTTTTTCTTGGCTCTTACTACATATTTAGAGGCACTGGAAAGTCAGTTTTGGTTCTTCACTCAGATAAGTTATGCATCATACTGGAAATCAGACGTGAATATCCTGTTCTCATTTCTCTGTGTTTCATATTCATTTCCTCAGTCCCTCTCTGGCATCCGTCTGGTTAAAACGCGGTTTTTTGTGCTGTGAGAAATGTGAATAGTTTCGGCACCATAAATTTGATTCCGCACACAAAATTTAATGGAACTGCTTTGTTGAATACTTTCATGCATGATAAAAATCGCTGATCTTCAGAAAGACAGGCGTATATCAAACATCAATGATTATTTTTATGTTCGACACAGATATAACTGGCAGTCATACCAATCTAGAAAAAAATATATTTCAAAGAATGAGATTTCGCGCGAAATTTAAATTTAAAAGTTTTAACATTTTTTTGCTCCAAAGAGGAGTGAGCATGCTAATTAGCCATTGTCACTATACACTGTGACTCTGTGTGATATTATATGAAGAAAGCAAGTTTGGTTGATTTAGCTGTAGGGGCTTAGAAGAAATGTACATTGAGCCACATACAGGGCATGGCTGCGCCCACATTGCCAAAATGTTTAGGCCGCAGGTGTCGCTGGCTACTGCGATTTGCTCAGTTATGGCACTTTATAAGCTTACGTTTATCGGCGTTTTGTGGGCGTGGCAATGGTCAAATTCCGCTTATCTGCAACGCCGATCTCCCTTGACTGCCAGAGAATATGTCATCAATATATTTTCAATTTTTATTTACAGTGACAGCACTCGGAACTCAACTCTTCTCATCATATTCAATAGTTTATTTTTAAGTATTAACTTGGAATTAAATTTCTTTATGTAAATATAGTTTTTTTTAATCCAGTGTTTGGGATTAGAAATTTTAAAATTATTTTTAAAAAAATTTCAAAATAAAAAAAATTATTTCAAATGTTAACTAAAATGTTAGTGCATCATTTGAAACCCTGGTTGTGTTCACTGCTATATACTGATATCAATTTCCTCAAATATGTCTTATAAAATCAAAGTCAATGTCTACATAAGTAGAGAAATTATCTCCAACAAATACAAATTGTCATAAATATTAACAACAACAAATTTTTGTCACATTAGAATCATTAATAAAAAGCCGGCATAGCCTGCAAAGCTATTCACTCTCAATTCAAAAATAATATAAAATTTTCAATAGCTCGAAACTATGCAAAATATTCGTAGCTGTAAATATATGTACATACGAAATCGCGCAGGTTGATTAATATACGAACCTGTGACATACGACATACATATGTATATGTATATATGCGTGTTGCCTGTGAAAATGTTTATATTTTTTATTGAGCGGAAAAAATTCACACAAAAAAGTCTGACAGTTGTAAACAACTACAACAAATGAGGTAATTTTACGGGAAAACACAAAAAAATACAAAATTATTTACGCTACGTTATTGGTATGTGCGCAAGTGCTGACACCTGTAGCTCGCAAACCACACACACACACACACACATGTTCATGAAACGAGATTCGCTCACACTGAAACTCATCAGTCACAGCTGTCACAGTCGGTTCAAACGGACATTCGGAATTTGACGGCTCGATCCATGGCTGTCGGGAGGGGGGCCGTCGTCAGTCATCTCGACCCGCATAACTGCGCCTGTGCAGCTTTTTAAAGTACACTACACACGCGCACACAAGCGCAAACAGTGTTTTGTTGAGTAAAGTCATGTTTATCAGCTCACTGCGCTGTCAAACTACTTCCACTCAACCGAACATGCATTCAATTAGTTGTCGATTAAATGCTTGCGCTTATAATTTCGCGCTATTTTTGTTGTATTTTTAATTACTCGTTTTTGGTGTGCAAATTTTTTAATATATATTTTTCTAGCGTGTAAAGTAAATGTTTATGCAAAACACCCACGTGTTTACTTAACTACTTAACGACATCCCTTTGACTGCCTCAGGTGTTTTTGGAAGTATTTTTACTGCAGCCTTTTAAAATGCAAATTGCTATTGCTGGCGTTTGCCCATAAATGTTAGTGTGGGAACTAAGCATTCGCAAGTCACATTTGACTTGATAATTAGGTTACCGGGTAAAGGGGATGCTGGTATTCGCAGCTGACGACACTAAAAAATAAAAATAAAAATTAATTTATTTTCTTAAATAAACAAAATGTTTGCAATATAACTTGCAGTGCGGAATTTTTCAGTATTAAATGAGAATTCAAAAATGAAAAGTTCAGTTCGGTAGTCGACAACACAAGCACCCGGCGAATCAGCGACTCTGTAATCGCATGCGCGGCAAGAATTTCCGCTTATTAAATGAGCTAAATAATTATTCCTCACAAATACAGAATATTTATACAAATTAAAATGATTTTTCAAACTTAGTATGGCGTATGACTGACACAATTAATTTTATAAACAAATGAGTTAACTTCTATATTTCACGAAAAAAGTTTGTATATATTTAGCATCTCCTGTTAGTCAGCTAATTACCCATATGTACTTTTACTCATATCAATGATTTCAAAAATTAATGAGGATAATTATTGTAGACTACATCTTTAGAAACACTACTCATGAAAGCTTCAGCAAATTGAGTGATCGTGCTTTCGGAACGCTTCGCGGCTGCTTTATGTATTAATGCGTTACAGCGACATGATTCGAAGTGCTATGACTTATAGAGTGATTTCATCGGTGACCTTCGGCAGCACATCCATATATTTCTTAAAATTATATATCGTGATCAAATCAGTCGCATAGACGCTTAGAAGTCAGTGCATTTTCAAAACGATGACATTTTCAACTTAAACTGATTTCGCTATGAATTTAAATCTATTTTTAATCGCTTTAAAGCACAATTGAGGCTTTACTTTGCGTTTTGCATTTAGTTGAATTCAATTAACGTTACGAGTWGTTAGTTAGTTGACTTAGTTATTTTTCAAGTCGTATAATTATATAGTTAGTAAAATGTCAAAACACTCCCACCTATGTTTTGTTATTATTGTTAATTGTTGTTGTTGTAGTTAGGTGCAATTTAATGACTTTGAAGTCGTAAACTCGCTCTCATTTGACACATTCCAATTGACACCATGAATAACAGAATTGTGAGTAATAAATGGGAGCAATTTCGAGGAACATGAATACAGCCTTTCTTACAGCCAGATCCTTATTTCATTTTAAATTTCAAAAACTCAATTTAATTTTTCATATATTTATATTTCAAATATTTGGGAATATTCTACATAAATTGACTATAAATAGCAAATTTTTTTTACGGAGTCTATCGGTCAATCTGTGAAGTCTAGTGTTCAAAATAAGAATATTTTTGTGATGACGGCATGCCTCTGTGCCAAAAATGGGTAGCGTCTTGTAAATACTTCCCCTAGCTCCCATATATCTAACAAAAATATTTTTGAATTTTCGGTTGACTTTTGCTGCAACTGTCTGACATAATGTAAGCACTTTTCATGAAAAAAGGGATGAGATCAAGCCGAGATGTATAGTCCACATTTACTTAACATATGAATTTTCAAATATCCTCTTGACTTTCTACTTTATCTGTATATTGGTCAACATGTGAGGTGTCTTAAGGAAATTCAGAGGGTCTCAAATCCAAATTTAACTTATATCGGATTATTGTTGAGTATTATATAAGAATAATACTTTGGAAACTTCTGAAACATCCCGGCTTTGATCCTTCCAAGCTGCAATAGTATAAAATGCTCGGTTCTACCCGAACTTAGTCCCTCGTTACTTCTTCTTATTTACCTTTAATTACTTTGATTTGGAGCAAGGCACCAGGGAAACGATCTTGTGGACTTGTCCCGCTTTGGCAAGACTACGCTGTAAGCATCTGGGGTCCCCGAAATATGATACACTGCAGGAGGTATCGAGAGTGAGGCAGCTGTGTCTGTTAAAACTCGCGTCAAGCGTAGATTTCTTAAACCATGACTACTCTTCTTGGACTTAGCAAGTGAACTCCATCTGGTGTAGCAAAGGACCAAAATGGTCCATGCGTAGCCCATTGGCCTACCTAACCTACTTTGAAAGAAATATGTCAGTCTTTCCTTTTAAATTTATTTAACTTCAGCTTTGAACTCGAAACATATATTTTATTTGTTACTAAATTTTAAACAAAAAAATTATTTTCCAATTTTAAATTTCGATTTTGGAATAAAAATAAAATTTCCACTTTTTAACTCTGAAACATTTTCAGATTTTTTTTTATATTTTTTAATTAAAAAATTTGAGTGGGAAATAAAAAAATATTTCATTAGTTCAAAATTATAATTTTAACATTTCATTTGTAAGCCCAAAATTGGAATTGAAAATTTAAGTCTAATATATAATTTAACATTTTATAATTTTTTTTAGCTCTTCCGGAAATCTCGCTTAACTGAAAATATGTTAAATGCAATACATACGCATATATCGCCTTCGAAAAACCCTGACGGAACTGCATTTTGGCACAAATTGTTTATCTGTCATTAGCGCCGAACGCAAAAGTGAAGCGCTTAATTAGCGTGAGCTTGTCAAAAGGAGGCTTTGTGTTGTTCAAATTGTGCGGCGATTACTCATTAAAGCCGAGCTGGCGGTGCGCGCACACAAACACATGTGGTTGCAGGCAAATAGGTAAATACACCTGCGCTTTGCGAAAATTGCTTTCGCACACACACACACATACACACGCACGAGCTTGGCAGCGTTGTCACTCACGGCAAATGATTAAAGCCACCCTCGAACTCGAGTTGGGCGTGATGGGTGCTGGGTGGGCAGCAGTGCGGGCGCAATTGCTGGTAAATGCTATGTGATATATGTATGTATATATGCTATTCAAATACATGCACATGTAATTGCATATGCGCATGCGAACGTCGCTTGGCTTTAAGTACTTAATTTGAACTTATGCTCATATGAAAAAGTGTTCTGTATTGTACTAACTGTTGTTGTTGCTTTTAAAAATACAAATGCTTTGCTAGGCGCTCAACTATTTGCTGTTTGTTGTATTCAAAGCATATGAAATTGTGTTTTTTCCTTAGCAAAGAAAAGCGTTTTCCTCAGCCGCGCAAACTTGTCGTGTTTCAAATATTTTAATGTGATTTTTGCCTTTGTGCGAACCGATCCATTGTTATTTGTTCTACATGTGTTTTTGTTATTGTTGTTGCGTATAGCGTAGTTCAGTGCTAATTTCGATTATCTCATACGTGCACTTAGCGCACTTACTTATAGTATGTATGTATATACCTATGTAATCACCTGTGTGTCAGCCCGTTTGTACTTTCGTAGTTATGTGTTGTTGTTGTTGTTTTTGTTGTTACCTTCTTAGTGTGCGTTTTTGTTGTTATCGTCGTCACTTGTTGCTTTTGTTGCTGTTGACAACGCCACCGTCGCCGCTTGGCCGCTTCAGTCGCGTCACTGTCGCGCGTGTGTGACGTTACAATTTCCCCCCTTTAACTTAAAAGTACAATTCGTTTAATGCGCCACAAAAGGCAAAGTAAAAATTTGTAATATTATTTGATTTCATTTGACTTTTGCTTTCTTCACACACTGCTTGCTTGTTGCATGAGCTGAGCTGCCTTGCCTTTTTGTTCCATTTGTTCTTATGTGCAAAGTTGAGATTTGTATTTATTTGTAATTTGTGCTAACTGAAGTTGGAAGTTTTTCAGTAGTGTACGAGACGCGCTGCCAAACGTTGCGTGTCGTTTTGAGGCTTAGACAAATTGCGATTCCCTTCAATAAGTAGCAAATACTTAGAAATTTCCTTGCTTAATTCAAGGGCGCTTGGAATAATTGAAAGTGCGGTGCTATTTTAACTAATGTGCTTATAAATAGTTTGAGAGCTACTAAAGGTGTACTAATCACAATAAAAAATACAAAAAAAAAAAAAAAAAATCCGGATTTAAGAAGGATTTTCGTCTTGTTGACAAAAGTATACAGATATTATGGTTTCGAAAGTGTTGCAAAATGTTATTGAACATTAAAAAAAATTTAAAAAATATAAAAAAAAAGTAATTTAAAGTGATGCCTAAAACATAATAAATGTAAAAAAGAGAAAATATTTTTCTCAAAATTAATTAATACATAAATTTATGATTTTGACTGCTTCGAAGCTATAATACCCTTCATAAATAAAAACGTTTTTTTTTTCTGTGGAGGAAGCCTAATTAATTTATTTACAAAAAAAAAGTATAATAAAATAAAAAGGAAATTATAAAAAAATTCAAAGTTTTATACAAAAATATTTTTGACAAATAAAAAATGTTTCCATATAAGTATTTGATTCTGAGCGTTCAGTTTCTATGGCAGCTATATGCTATAGTGTTCCGTTATCGGCGGTTCCGACAAATGAACAGATTCTTGATGAGAAAAGGACGCAGGCAAAACTTCAGATTGATATATCAACAAATTAAGGACTAACTGGCGGACAGACAGAGGACAGACGAAAAAAATTATTTGAAAAAAAATTTTTTTTAAAAACAATTTTTTGAAAAAAAAAAATTTTTTTTACGTTATAAAAAAAATTTGATAAAAATATATTAAAAAAAATATATATTATAATATTAAAAAAAAAATATATTTTTTTTATTTAAGGTAAACACAGGAAATAAAAAAAAGTGATTAGAGCAAATCTGTAAAATAAAAATAATAAGTGTCCTGAAAAAGAAAAAAACAAAAAAAACTTTAAGAATTAATGCAAAGTAAAAATTCAACCCAAAAGTGCTCAAGTTTAGAAATAGCAAAACAGCAAAAATATGGCGAATATAAATAAGAAGCTTGCGTTGATACAGTTAATAGCGGTACATTTAATAGCAGCGCAGGCAGATCCGCAACTAGATTTGCCACCACTGAACCTCGACTCTCAAGGCCCAGAATTATTGTACAATTCACTCACACCCAGAACGGCTGCGAGTCCGCTGCAAGCATTGGGCGACTTTGATCGCAGCCAACGCTATGGACCACCCTATTCCAGCGAAGGACTCAATGATGATGGCGCTGATGATTTTAGGGTAATTATTTTCAATAACTCATATAAACATATATAAACTATAAACTCAACTCCACTCCTTTCTCAGAATGGCCAAACTTATGACGAGCGCATGCGCTACGGTTACACTTACACAGCTAGAGCACAGAATTTGACCCGTGCTGCAGCCGATTCACCGTTCAGTGATTACAACAGCAATAATGTGGGATTGCAACAGCGCGAAAGTCCCCGTTATCCCAATCATAATTACGATAACCCCAGCGATCGCTTCGGCAACAACAACCGTTTTGCAGACGGCTTCGATGAGCGCCAGCGTGAACGTTACAATAACGATAATCCCGATCAGGCGCGCTTCAATAATCCAAACAATGACTATAATGCACGTTTCAACGGAAATCAGTCACCAATTGGCGGCAACTTCGATCCGAATAGTCCGTTTAATACAAACAATCCGTATGGCAATGATCGTGGCCGTTTTGATAATCCTTTTAGGCCGAATCAAGATCGTTTCAATTTGAATAATGAACGTTTCTTCGAGAGGCAGCGCTTCCAGCAGGAGCGACGTTATCAAATGGAATTAGAGAAGCTGCGGAATCTGCTGGTGGAGACTGATCATAAGGGTTCACTGGAGTGTACAGCGAATGTGGGAGCTCAGTGGAATTTCGAGACAAATGTGAACGAGCTAACGCAGGCGGAAGCGGTAAGTGGTGAAACGAAGATAGAGAGAGCATAGAGCGAGGGAGAGATATGTAGGTTGGATTAGAATTTAATTGAAAAGTAGAAACAAATGCACGGCAAGTTGTGTGCGGGTGCAATTTTTTTGTAGTGAAACATGGCAGTTATTAATAATGAACCGCTGACTTCCCAAGGTCATTCTCACAAAAGCCATTCGCTTAGCAAATGCAATGCATAGAGACCAAGTAAAAATCCGGCTACTTTTCGTCGCTTGTTCGTTTTTTTTTAGAAAATTTCTCAGCGACTTACAGAGGCTTCAAACCTTTACTGGTGATAATTCTCCCACAAAAAAGTCGCATGTTTTGTTTTCCAATTTTTTGCGTTCGTCGCATTTAACCAATCGGTTTTCTCACGTGCAACGCTGCCTCATTCATTTGGTAGCTGTGATTACTTTGGTTTTTAGTCGTACGTGTTCGCATGTAATGCGGTCAAAGCGGCAGTCGGTCGTCAAGGTTCGACGTGTCTGAAGCACATACAATATGTATGTATCCAAATACATATGCGGGCGTATGTGGGTGTCTCTTTAGATTCCACCTTGAACAGTGAGAATTCAATGCCATAGCAAATTGGCGGTTCCTTGCAAAACAAAACAAAACCGAACTTAAGACGAACAGAAAACCGAAAAGATCACGTTCAAAAGCAAGGTTAAGGTTACCTAGAAAGGCTCTAGGGTTAGATATAGATTACGTCTGTTTTATTTTAAATTACCACAAGGTTTACAATCAAGTTTTTATTTAACTCTAAAATAATTTCAGTATCTTTCTTTGTAATGAAGTCGTAATTGTCTCATTTTAACACTGCTAATTTCCATTTAATTGCTTCTCTTTTTACCAGTTCAATGCGCAACAACATTATGTCGACTTTCTGCGMTTGGTAGCCGAGCAATCGAAGAATATTAACAAAGATCTGATACTCGACCGGCGGCTTTATCGGCAGTTGATGTTGCAGTCGGAAGCCGGACCCAATGCCTTACCGATAGAGACTTTGGATCGCGTAAGTTACCGAAATGAACTCACCGCATTCTCCTAATAATGCTTTATTCTTTAGTATAATCGGCTTATCAATGAGATGCTCTACATCTACAATGAGGCCACCATTTGCGCCTATCAACAGCCCTTTATCTGCAACCTGCGCTATATACCCGATCTGAAGGAGATCATGTCCAAAAGTCGCGACTGGGACGAACTGCAGCACACTTGGGTGGAGTATCATCGCAAAGCGGGACGAGAAATGCGCGATGGTTATGAGCAATTGGTGGATGTGATGAACGAAGTGGCCTATGTAAACAGTAAGTTGTTGTAACGCCACTAAGACACCAATGAGTCAAATAATAATGACCCTAACTATTTCTTGTAGATGTTACAAATGGCGGTGAGTTCTGGTATCTGCCGTATGAGTCGGCCAACTTTCGTCAGGACGTAGAAAATGTATGGGAGCAGATACGTCCACTATACGAGGGTCTACATTCGTATGTGCGTCGTAAGCTGCGCGATTACTATGGACCAAATCGCATTAACCGCATTGCCCCGATACCCTCACATATTCTCGGCAATATGTATGCGCAATCGTGGTCGAACATCTTGGATATAGTTATACCGTTTCCTGGTCGTAAATTGGTCGATGTAACGCCGCGTATGATTGAACAGGGCTATACGCCGTTGTTAATGTTCCAATTGGCGGAGGAGTTTTTCACGTCAATCAACATGTCTGCTGTGGGCCCTGAGTTCTATACTAATTCTGTGCTCGAGCAACCGTTGGACGGACGTCGTGTACTTTGTGAGCCTTCCGCATGGGATTTCTGTAATCGGCATGATTTTCGCGTCAAAACCTGTTCGGAAATTAGTCAAAAGGGGCTGCTGAGCGCTCACCACGAGATGGCGCATATACAGTACTTTTTACAATATCGCCATTTGCCGAAGGTGTTTCGCAATGGTGCTAATCCCGCTTTTCATCAAGCCATAGGCGATGCTATCATGCTATCGGTGTCGACCTCGAAACACTTTCAAACGATTGGCTTGTTGCAACGTTCTGTGGATGAGTCCAGTTATGATATAAACTACCTCATTACAATGGCATTGGATAAGGTGAGTTTTTGTGTGTGAGTAGTGTAGAGCTTAAATATAACAAAATTTTTAAGAAATGTTGCTTAAGATATAATTTTTGCAAATTAATAATGTTATAATATATTGTTGAATACGGGAAATTATTTGCCTCTTTCTTAGGTCGCCTTCTTACCTTTTGCTTTGGCTCTTGACAACTGGCGTTATGATGTCTTCAGCGGGAATACAAATAAACATACGATGAACTGTCACTACTGGAATCTGAGGTTAGTTTTAATTAACCAGTGTTAAATGATAGAAACCGGAGATGAAATATTTTTCATTCACAAATATTAATAACAATTTCATTATCACCTCTACAGAGAACGCTATGGCGGTATTAAGCCACCAGTGCTTCGCTCGGAAAAGGACTTCGACTTGGGCGGAAAGTACCACATACCAGCAAATATACCGTATATTAAGTGAGTAATAGAGTTAAGGCATATACTTAGGGGGAGATGGGCGAAAATGCTATTATATTTGAGTGCGCATATTGAAGAGGTAAACTATAGAGGTTTATATGTTGGTAACACCATCTGGAGTTCATTTTGTCAGTTAAACATTTTAAGGTTGGTTTTCCACTGTTCGTAGAATTGGGTCATTGGTGTTTACCCTTGAAATTAAGTGAAACTTAAGCCTTACTTGCGATCTTCTTTCCGCTTTTATTGGCGCTTCATTTCCAGCCAACATTTCATTTTCTATACACACCCATAAATCCAAAGTTGGAGCACACTTTCCACTTCGCTGCGGTGGAAATTGAAAGTGGGAAATGTCAGCTGCCGCGAAATATAATTCAGGTTTCTTTTGTGCGACTTTCTTTACTTTACTTAGTAATTTGTACTATTGGTCATATTACCGTTACATTCATGAGAGTACAATGTGTGCCACTGTTTACGTTCTCCTGAAAGAGTCGCTTTGTTATGATTTAATCTTTATTTTATTTGGTTGTTGTTACTTTTTCCTTGGCGTTTATTGGTTTGCTTAACATATATACGTTGACTTTGGTGATTGACCTGCGGCCAGTGCTGCCAAAGTCGTCGCTTACTTTGACCCAGTAAACTGCTTTTCATGCTTCACCCATAATCAGCTACAATATATTGTGTTGTATAACAACAAAACAATAACAACATATGGATAGCTGTTGCTCATTCGTGCGGTCGTGTCTTAACGCCGACATTGTACATCGAAACTGCAGACGCAATGGCGTTTTTATGTGTGTTAGGCGGCGGAGGAAGAGCAGTTGCTGTTATTGAAAAGCATAAGGGGAATGAATGTGTGGGAACACTGTTGTGAAAAATATTTGTGGAAAGCTAGTAAAACACACCCATTTCGAAGCTGCACCTGACGATGTCATTGACTGATACAATTAGCTGCGGATCGCCGCTTGTTATGTAATGTTGTGTGACTTGCGCAATGCAAGTTTGCGTGTTTGCTTGTGCCTGTAATGAGAGCGATTATGTTAATACTAAATAATTTAACGTGCAAATTTAATGGTAATAATTTCGAAATTTAGCGACGATGATATATAAGAGGATATTTGTATGGATTTATTTAGTAAGGGTGTATTCCAGTCTAGAGGCTCGCGTTTTTGGCAATTGGTACAAAAAACAAAAAAACAAAAAAAATAACAAAAAAAAAAAAAAACAATTTGATATTTTTACTATGAAGTTTTTGTCATGTCTTTATTTATATTTAAAGAGTAATCAAAATTAAGTAATAAAAAATTGATTTCATTGAGTTATGCGACCTTGAGGTAAAGTAGAGAGGGATAAGGGTGTGCTTTCGTCGCCATTATTTCTACCTTTGTGGTCATCTGAAAAATTAAACAATATTGGAATCTTGATTAATAGGAACGTCGCTATTTTTAAATATCTTAACTTTGAAATTAAGATTTTTTTTTTATTTTTTAAAATTTCTAGACCCTTTAGGTAGCCATTATTAACTCTGTAGACGTAGACACGGCGATTATAACCGAGTTAACAACAGCGTGCCAGTCATTTGTTTCTTTTCGCTACTTGGCGCCAATCGGAGATTCCAAACGAATCATGGTCCTTCTCCACCTGGTCTTTCCTGTTTCCCCCGGCGGACACTGCGTCAAATACGTTCAGAGCTGGAGTGTTTTCGTCTATTCGGACAACATGACCCAGCCATCGTAACTGATGTTTCTTAATTCGCCGACCAATTCAATATCGTCAGCTCATCGTTCCATCGAATGCGATATTCGCCGTGGGCAACGCGCAAAGGGCCATAAATCTATCGCAAAGCCTTTCTCTCGAAAAGTCGCAACGTCGACTTATCAGATGTTGTCATTACATGCCTCTGCACCATATAGCAGGACGTCAATAATGAGTTTCTCAATTGCCAACTTAGCTTCGAAGTTATGACCGTCAACATTGACTTGTGTGCCTAATATCGAGTGCGACAACTGTTTGTTTGATGACAGGAGATATTTTGTCTTGCCCTCGTGCACTATCAAACCCATTTGCTTCTGAAGAAGTCGGACGAAATAGAGTCGCCTTATCTGAAACCTCGATTGGTATCGAACGACTCGGAGAGATCCTGCTCGATTCTAATGGAGCTTTTTGTATTGCTCAATGTCAGTTTACACAGCTGTATTAGTTTTGCGGGGATACCACATTTCTTTCGTGCTGTCAAAAGCAGCTTTGAAATCGACGAAGGGTGGTCTGTGTCGATTCTTTTTTCACGGCGCTTTTCCAAGATTTGGCGATGTGGAGGAGACATATCCCACGGTAGTTGGCTCAGATTGTGGGGTCTCCCTTTTTGTGGACCATATTTTACAAAGAAGCTGATGCATGCTCCTTATCAGTTCTTCGCCGCCATCCGCTCTCCGCTTTGTTGTTCTTTAGACGGGTAATTGCTTCTTCATGGTTGAGCAAGGGAAAGTATCATCCATCGTCAACGATTGGTGAATCGGGCTCGTTTTCTCCTGGCGTTGTATGTACTTTCACTTCCATTCAGCAGGCCGGAGAAGTATCTCACCATAATTTTGGTATGCTCTTGACATATAGGTTACACCATTCATACAAGCTTGGCACTAATTCTTCATCTCACAATAATATCGCGCTATAAATATTCACTGATTAAAATTACTTCTTTCTTCTTTTGCTAAAAATCGGCAGAGTTATATCTAAGAAAGTTTAAAAAGAAAGTTTTCCAAAAATTTCAATAAATAATTCTTGATCTCACCATAATTCCAAGCTCTAATTATACCCATCGAAGAGTAGAACTTCTTTCAGCACATCAGCAGAGTTATCTCCTATAGGGGTTATACAGTTCTTAAAAGTTTTCCACTCATGCTTCATTTCATCATAACTTCACTCAAGATTTAGTTGCCGTTGTTTCTTTGTCAATATTTCGACATGTACATATTTTTGGTTTTAGCTCCCAAACATTGTTCGAAAAACAAGGGATAAACATTCGAAGTTATAAAATTCTTTATTCCCATGTTGATTCTTCGTTAATTATATTCCATTAGATTTTACTTTGCACATTGTTAGTAGTACCGAAAGTGGCAACTGACATGTGGCAGCTGACAAGACCTTGTCTCCACGATTAGCACGCGTCAAATTAAACGGCACATCACTGAGCTGTCAAATTCTCGAAACTAGTTAATTATCAACTGTCAATTTACTACGAATTTACAAGCAGAAACCCGAAGGGGCACGACTGAGCCGAATATGTAGTAGCCGACACGTCCATTTGCTGCACTCACACGCTTGGCACTGAGGTGGGCCAAAAATAGTAAATCGTTGCTGCCTGAATGAAGTGACCACATTAAATAGTTAAAAAAGTCACGAGTGCACACCGAATTGACACATCCAGATATGACTGGTGGTCTGGTGTGTTTAATTCACTCAAAAATATTATTTATATCAAAAAGCGCTGTCGGCGGCATTTCGCGCTGACATTCGTCGCTATCAAAGGAACACAATGTACGTATGCGCACAAAAGCTTGCCAACAATGACCAACTGTGACCGCAATTAACCCAGTTTTTCGGCATATTGTTGGATGCTTTTCGGGCCATTGTGGAGGAGCAGCGGCCAACGCAGACGCAAACAAGCTACAGCTGAAGAAACTTTTATTTCTAAAGCAACAATAGTAACAACCATTCCAGCTTAACTAGCAACAACAAGCCAAACAAAGTAGTACATGAAAAAAGAAAGAAAAATTGTAAAGGCGAAATTTGCATAATTTTTTTGGGGCCATTCAAAAATGACAGTCTGATAACGAATCGCGCTTTATGGGCAATTATTGTGATTGAATTCGTAATGTGGATGTGCGAGAAGAAGTGTTGGCCATTAACTGTGTCAGAGATGTGGTGACAATAATAACCGCCGCGCGACTCTTCACTGAATTGGCAAGCAACTTGCTGGCGCACTAAGCAAGTAGTCGGCGATTATGTAATAGCATAATCATGGCAGGTGCTAATACGCACGCTACGATCATATACCGATCATATACTATAATTAACGGAACAAGTGTTGAAAGATTGAGTTTATGTAGTTCGTACTTTCTTGCGCTTGTGGGAATGCTGCCAAATTGTAAAATTTAAATACTCGTATATATGTAAGTAAGTAAGGTGGAGTAAGTCCGCAGGTGGCCTGTAATATTGGAGTATTGTAAACCATTCAGCCAAATGTTGAAATAGGCAGCAAGCTGGCTGCTTGAATTAATAGCGTCTCAAGAAAATTACTTGCTCTGATTAAAAAATAATAAAACAATCTAAAATTGTTCAGTGTGGTTGCACTGAAACTATTATACCCTACACGAATGCAAAATATTGCTTATAAGAACTTTTATTGGTCGGTTTGTTAGGTAGCTATATAGTGACCCGATTTTAACAATTTCTTTGAATATTGCAACATTGCTCCTGCAAAATCTCACATAAATATCTTTTAAAATGAAAAAGTTTTTCATACAAGCACTTTATTTCGAATGTTCACTTTCTATGGCAACTATATGCTGTAGTGAACCAATCTGAAGTATGAGCAGTTCTTCATAAATTGAGGAACTAATCTCACTCGAATCAGCTCGTCATGCTGCTCAGTTATATATTGGATAGTCGAAAAAGGCTTTTCGTATGAATTTTTTATGTCTAAAACGTTTTATTTCGGGGTTTCAAACATCCTTAATATTACATAGTATAAATATTCATATATTTGTAAATAATATCAGAAATTTTAGAGAAAAAACAATTGTAAAGCAATACTTATTTAAAAATTTTAATAAATATTCTAATTCAATAATAACAATATGCGTTTTGATTTAAAAATACAAAATGCGCTTTATTTAACATTTGAAATTTTCTTCAAAGTTTGAAAATGAATTCCCGAAATCAAAGCTGCGCTTACAGTCTGCCTTCACGCGCCTTGCAATTGCTCATTCAATGCAATGCATTATTGCCACATGCTCTTATGCATGTGTTAGTGCACAGAAACTCATTAAAATTAAGCCAAGAAACGAGCAAAAAGCCAAGCAGTGCAATCACTATTAAATATTGCAACATCTGAAATCAATTATTGCCGACACTCAAAGTGATTGCGACCAGAGAATACTGTTGCAATATAATGCGCGCCACAACAAAAGCAATACGTAGTAATAATAGTGCCTCAAATAAGTGCGCTGATTCGCGACTGTTTGCCAAATTTTTCATTGGCGCGCGATTATACTCAAAAGCTAAGCGATATTGCCGCATTATGTTGTATGGTAAACTTAAGGGTGGCATAAGAAATGCTTGAAAAAATTATAATGACAACGAAAAGTATAGGTATTGTCACCTACTAATTTAAAGAGTAGAGCAAAGTGGGCTTATGGCAGTTTTTAGAAAGGAATTTCTGTTTCTGTTTCTGTTCTGTTGTTCTAGCTATCTTTACTTCAGCTAGGAGTGGTATATTAAATATTTTTGAAAGATTCATCATTGTATGAATATGTTCGGAAATCAAATGATCTGATAGCTTATAATCATTTTTAATGTAATAATATTAATATTATGTATTATTATAAATATAAAAAAAAAGTTGAAGTTTGATAAGAAATACCAAAAGACTTTTTCGACTACCGTTATTAAGTATTGACTATTGAACAATCAGTAGTTGAATTTTGTTAGCAATTTTTGAAGCAACCGTTTTCTATATATGAACCGATGTCTGAATGTGAGTTTGAAGTCTGTAAGATTTTATTATGAAGAAATGTAGGAATTATATTAGAGCTATGAGGAGGAATTTAGCTTAATGAGCAACAGCACCAAATATTTAAGCAATTATTATTTTTTTGTCTAATTTTAATTTTTATTTTTTTGATTATAATATATATTTTACATTAAGATATATAGAAAAATAAGAAATTATTTTATTTTTGGTATTTATGTTGGAAGTTTTTATAAAGCAATCGCTTTAAATGCCAACATTTTTGTCATTGAAAGAGTTATCAAAATTTCTTATAAATTTCAAATCAATAAATAGGCATTCATTTGTTTGGTTTTTAAATCGAATAATCGTTTTATTTCACATTTCATCATTACATCAACAACTTACATATTTCATACATTTTAACAGTTATTTGGTAGTAGTAAATAGTATGTTTTTTTTCATTTTTTTATAAATTTTTTCGTACATATTTTTTGTAATTATCGCTATATATTTGCCTTAGGTTTTCAGTTTTGATTTCAATGTAAAAAAAAAATCATATAAAAATCGTATAAAAAATCATAAACTAAACAAAAAAAAAAAAAAAAAATGAATAAAAAATAATAATACAATACGGTCACACTAACTCACGCAGGAGCATTACTTAAACTAGTTTTTTGTTTCACGCTTTACACTTTTACTGTGTGCAGCATTTGCGAATATCGTAGAATAGAGTCGAGTATGTAGATATATTGTAAGAAGTAGCTATGTAAGTTATAATTGCATTTGCATATAAGAATATTGTCTCTATAAATGTCTGCAGGTATGTGTTGCATATTTAACTATGTAATATATAGTTAGCGAGCTATTAAAAATATATATTTTATTATTACAGCACGATTAACACTATTACTTTACTAAACAGAGTTGATTATGTTCATAAACATATTTACATAGACATGTACTTTGATATGCGCTTAGCGTTGAGCGAATCTCAAAAGCGTTTAAACCTGCAAGTTTCTTAAGCATTCACCGCAGCTAATGCCAATTACTCACATATAACGCTACATACACAGATAGCTATACTCATGCTGGCATATATATATACTTTCTCCAATGGGAGTAAATCAACGCAAAACAACAACAAGATCATTTGTCATTTATCACTTAAACTCGAAGTCGAACGCCACCGGCAAGGCAACGCTGGGAAATGCACCTGCGAAAGCTCGTGCGCCTTTGAACTGTGTTCCCAAATCGCATGCGTTGTTTGCTGGTGGTGTGCGGAGGACGCGATTGGCCATGTCACAGGAACCCCACCCTGTTGGACGTGTCGCAACGGCGCCAAATATCACTGTTGGTCGGAATACTGTGTTATATATTCCTCTGTACAACTTGAAAACTGCTTAAAAAACACTTAAAACTAATTATTCATTATATTGCCTATATGTATATGAGTAAAAAAGTATGTTACTTGTTGAGTTTGTATAAAAAAAAATTATGGCTTAAGCTAAAATCGTATCAAATGTACATACAAAAAATAATAATTGGTAAAAGATCAGTTATATTTTTATGTGTGTAAAGTACGTGTCTCTCAAATTCCAAAACGTTTCGCCTAATTCGAGTTCCAAAACGTTCCAATATCACGATCACGCGGTTACGGTATATCCTACTCAATCTTCTCATACTCCATACAACGCTCTCGCGAGCCACAAACTCCACATCCTTTTGATTTCCAGCTGGTCCGTTCTAACGTCGCACATTCATAAGCCTTTCTCAGTTTATTACTCAATGCTGTAACGAAAAAAAGAGGGAGAGATAGGGAAGGAACGAATGTGTTGCGGAGTGAACGTTCACGGAGCGAAAGGCAAAGGCATTTAGGCAAAATGTGTATGAATGAGAGAGAGAGAGAGAGTGAGATAGAATTGCCATATTAGTATTCATGCTCCTCATGTTCGTATTCGCCAAAAGATTCCACCTCATGACCACCAAAGTCGTGGCTCTCCTCATGATGATATTCCTCATGATGGACAGGCTCGTGAATTTCCTTGTGTACGAATACGGGTTCCTTGTAAGAGACGTGTTTCTCGTGGTATTCGGGCACGTGCTTTTCAATGTGAACGGGCACTGGTTTTTCGACGGGTACCTTGACTGGATAGGGCACATGTTTTTCAACCTTGACTGGGATTTCCTTGATGACTGGGTATGGGGCTGGTACTGGAACTTTGACTTCGTATGGTACGGGTTTCTCAACATGCACTGGCACGGGGTTGTCATAGGGCACATGCACTGGTACGGGCACCTTCTTGATCACTGGCACTGGCACTGGTTTCTCAACATGATATGGTACTGGTTTTTCAACATGATAAGGCACTGGCTTGTCGACATGCACCTTGACTGGGTAGTGGACGACCTTCTCGACTGGGTATGGTTTGTCGACATGCACGTGCACCTTCACGGGGTAGTGCACCTTCTTTTCAACTGGATATGGTGCGGGTACATGCACTTTCACTGGTACATGAACCTTCTTCTCAACTGGGTATGGCGCGGGCACGTAAACTTTGACAGGCACTGGGCGATCATAGTGCACATGCACGGGTACGGGGACCTTCTTCTCAACTGGATAAGGCGCAGGCACTTCATGCGGCACCTTTACGATTTCCTTGACCTCATATGGTACATGCTTGACCACTGGGTATGGTTTGGGCACTTTCACCTCAATTGGCACGGGTATATGTTTTTCGACGGGCACATGTACAACCTTCTCGACGGGGTATGGTTCGGGCACCTTCTTGATGATGGTCACTGTTTTTTCCTCATGAATCGGATGATGATGGTATGAGTGATGGTAGTCCTCGAAATGATGTAGGCCACGTTTGGTTTTGGTGCTGTCGCTATCGTCGGCAGCAGCGGCGGAGGATTCCTTGGCACCTTCCTTGGCGGGTTCAGCGGATTTGGTTTCGACAGCCTTTTCGTCTTCGGCGCGCGTGCTGATGGCCAGCAGCAACACCAGGGCGAGCAATGATGCTGAACGCTGTTGCGGGAGAGAGAGTGAGAGAGAGAGAGAGCAGGGAACGAGTTAAAAGAGGATGGGATAAAAAGAAGGGTTTGGAGAGAAGAAGTAGTTGTTGCAAAATTTCAGTAGATTTTTTTTGTGGCGATGTAATTTTTTTTTATTTTCGAAAAGTAAGAAAATTTTGGGAAATGTAGAAGGAGGAGGAAGCATAAGTATTAGTAAATTTCCGTTTTAATATAGTGGAATAATTGTTTCAATATTGTAATTTCTGCAATTGGGATAATGGGTTTACTAAGTTGATAATAAAGAGTTTAAAATGAATTAGTTTCAAGTAAAGAAGCAGTTAGTTACACTGTAGCCTTTTTGATGGTATCTCATAAATCTTTTAGAAGCCAAATTTGTTCCTATAATAACTTTAAAATACATTGAAAAAAAAAATTTTTAATTTTTTTAAAATTTTTTTAAATTTTTTTTATTTTAATAATAATTGTAATATTTTTCGGTAGTTTTGAAAAGGAATTCTAAAGTCAGTAAAAGTTGTTAATTAAAAAGTAATTTTAGTATTTTAAAGATTAAAGAAATATTTATTTGCTCAAAAATAGAAGTATGAAATTTTAGAAAAAATGTTAAGCAAGAAGAATTACTTTTATTTAAATAATATTTTTAATATTTTTTGTAATTATGAAAATGTGTAATTTGAAAGTATTTTGTATTTAAAGCGTAAATTTAATATTTTTTTATCAAAAAAAAAAAAAAAATTTTTTTTTGAAGAAAAGCTTGAAGGCAGTATTTTTGACTTTAATGTAATTTAAATTACTTTGCATTTCTGGTTAATTTTTAAGCAACTTTATCTTGAAAAAAAAATTTTTGAAAAATTTAAAACATTTTTTTTTGTAATAATAAAATAGTG